TGTTTCTCTCTCCCTCTCTCCCTTCCATTCTCTCTGAAAAGCAATGGCAAAATTATCCTCAGGTGAGGATTTTTTTTTTTTTTTAAATCAGAATGATGGAACTGGAACAAACAGGTCAACTTACACCTTTCCTGTTTCTTGAGCCCACACCCACAGAGGCTGACCCCAGGCTCCAGAGACCTTTCCAGAGTCACCCCTGCAGACCCTCGGGGCCTGGGCTCTGGTCTGAGGCCAGGGCTCTCCTGGCTGGTCTCCCCGGCACTGAGAGAGGCAGAGGCAGAGAGCAGCGAGCGCTCCTGCTAGCAGGCCAGCTGCCAGGGCCAGCACCTCTGCCCCTCTGCACTCCCCTCCTCCCCCTGCAGACATGCTGCCCCGGCTCATTCCTCCAGCCTCCCGGGTGACCTCAGGCTGTGACTGTCCTGTCCCCTGCACCCCTCAGTTTAGCTCCTGATTGCTATCTCCTGGAGCCTGTGACCCGGGGAGGGCCAGCCTTGCGGCAGGCAGGTGTCCTCTAGCCTCGGGGCTGGGATGGGAGTGGGCAGGGCTGCCCGCAGACTGAGCTCTGAGTTCTGGGAGGCAGATGAATGGGCCTCACTGTCAAATCTTTTAAAATTACAAGCTATTTCAGACATAGGAAAAGGCACCGAGAATTACAAGGACCTATGTGCCTGCCGCCCAGCTTAAGACATCAATTCTCATTCCGTAGAAACCCTCCCAGCCTCATCCTGCTCCCTACCCCCAGGTCCCCACCGTGCTGAGCTTGGCATTTCTCATCCCAAACACCCCCAGAATTCTACTTCGCGCCTGCACGTGCCCAAGTCACATGAGGTTAGTTCATACATTGTTAGACCTGAACCACAGGGCTCTGTGCTGTGCCTTCCGCAGCTCGCTCAACATCATGTAGTGAGACCTAGCGAGCTGCTGCAGGCAACTCGACGTTGGCTTTCCCAGCTCTGTGACTGATGTTCACGGTATGAATGTATTTGTCCATCCCTTCTTCTGTAAATTGCCCAGCCCTCACTGCCCACTCCTGCTCGGACCCCAGCAGGCCACATGCTGAGACTGTTTTCTGTCCCTCCCCCACTCTGTGGCCACCATGACCAGGCCGTTGCTTGATCTTCAGGTGGGGAAGAATCCATACCGAGCTGAAAAGGCAGAGCAGAGTGCAGCCAAGGAAGGTAGCCAAGGAGGGCTTCCTGGTGGAGGGGGCAGGGAAGCAAAGTTCCAAAAGATGGAGGGAGTCTGGCATGTGGCTAGGTGTGTGGCCATGAAGGAACCCCAGGTCAAGGGACTCTTATGGGCACAAGTGTTCGGTGGTTGGGTGCCCCAGAGAGCCCACACATGCTTCCCAGGGACCCCGCGATCACGCTGGGGTCTCACTTACTTGGTTGACCGAGGGACCACCATGTCTGAGAGGGATTCGTAGGTTTTCTGCCATTGTGCATAGTTTGGTCTGCAAGAACACACAATAGGTCAGTGATTTCTGCAGGAAAGGCTGTGGGTGTCCCGAGTGTCTAGGAACCTGCACGCCCCCTTCCCTGAGGGACTGAGGTGAGCAGGACTGAGGCCAGAGAGAGCCCAGACCCCCTCCGAGGCCCTGCATGGGCTCTGGGAGCCCCCTCCGCAGCCCGATCCTGAGCCCAGCCTCCCTGTGAGGTCGAGAGCACCTGAGCTGTCTAAGCCTGGCCCTGCATGGCCTTGGGCAAGACACCCGACCACAGCCACCCACCCCCAGGCTTGCTGGGAGTGAAATGAACCTGTCACATCCGGCACATAGCAGGTGCTCACGAAACGGCTGCTCCTGTCACTTCTGTGACCACCGCGAGCATTGCGGCCTGTCCCTGCTACCACCACACAGCTTTATTCAGGGCCTGGGGCCCGGCCGTGGGCTGCGCCCCTTCCTCTCCGTGGGCAGGGCCAGTCTCCTTCCGTGATGACTGACGCAGGTTGATACCCCAACTGCCCACCTTCCTGCCCACTTACTTGGGGACAATGACCAGAAGTGTGACCAGATACTCGGAATCCAGCACGAAGTCTTCCCTGCTCACAATGTCGCTCAGCGTTCGGGTGAAAAGGTTTCCCCTGAATCGTGTGGGACAGAGGGGGTGTGGTCAGCAGAAAGGCACGTGGAGGAGCGTGGACCCTGCACACCCACAGCACAGGGGGAGGGATGGGGGCAGGCAGGGCAAGGGGGAGAATCAGGGGGTGCCCTGGGGAGGGGCGGGGCCCGGGCCTCAGTGGGCCCCCAGCTCTGCGTCTGGGAGGCCTCAGGCGCTGTCACCAGTTGCCCGAGGGGCCGCTGCATCCAACACCTCGGTCACCTGTGCTGCCCTGTGTAAGCCGCCGCTGCTGGGAGGGGACCGCTGGCGGCAGACAGTTTAAGTTACTCAAGTGTGCACACAGCGGCCGGCTGGCTCTCAAAGCAGCCTGGGCAGCGCTGGGCTGGGCTGTGCAGGGCTGTGCTGGGCTGTGCTGGGCTGTGCTGGGCTGTGCAGGGCNGCTGGGCTGGGCTGTGCTGGGCTGTGCTAGGCTGTGCCGGGCTGTGCTGGGCTGGGCTGTGCTGGGCTGGGCTGGGCTGGGCTGTGCAGGGCTGTGCTGGGCTGTGCTGGGCTGTGCCGGGCTATGCCGGGCTGTGCCGGGCTGTGCAGGGCTGTGCTGGGCTGTGCTGGGCTGTGCAGGGCTGTGCAGGGCTGTGCTGGGCTGTGCTGGGCTGTGCTGTGCCGGGCTGGGCTAGGCTGTGCCGGGCTGTGCCGGGCTGTGCCGGGCTGTGCCGGGCTGGGCTGTGCTGGGCTGGGCTGTGCTGGGCTGTGCTAGGCTGTGCCGGGCTGTGCTGGGCTGTGCTGGGCTGTGCTGGGCTGTGCTAGGCTGGGCTGTGCTGGGCTGTGCTGGGCTGGGCTGTGCTGGGCTGGGCTAGGCTGTGCCGGGCTGTGCTGGGCAGAGAGCGGCCCGGAGAGAGCTCCGTTTCACTTTCCACGCCTCACGGGCCCATCAGCCAGGGGACACACACCTGAGATAGCTCCCTACCTGCCCAGCGGAACCTGGTCTGCACCGAGGTCGTGGTATTTTTAGCAAACGGATCAAGGCCGCTGTGCCAGCAAATGGGCCCAGATCCAGCTAACGAGACGGCCTGTACCCTTGGCACACAGGCCCTGCTGTTAGCTAACGTATTCATTATCGAGCAGTGCTCCCCGAAAAAATAGCTGTCAGGCGCTTAGCTGAGGCCGGAGGTTTAGGTAAAATGCCATCCACAGGCTCTCCAGCCTGCCCAGGGAGCCTCACCTCTCTCCTCCGCCACCTACACCGTCACCCTGAGGGCCCCTTTCCAAGGGCACAGCCCGGTGGCGTTTCCTTACCCCGTCAGACCTCACCTGCCTGGTCTATGCCTGTAACCCCTGCGCACAGGAGACTTTCCCTAAACATTTGTTGAATGAATGATTGTGAGCTCTCCAAGAGCAGAAATTTCATGTTATTCAGCTTTGTATCTTTAGGGCCCAGCACAAGGCCTGAGTGTACAGTAGGTGCTTCATAAACGTTTGCCAGGTGAAGAAAAGAACAGCGGGGGAGGGGGGAGGGCTGTTTCTCCCCCTTCGCCCCCTCCCTCCCTCCAAGTACGAAAGCAATAGATGAGTCAGTGTCACCATGAGTCAACGAGGAATTTCTTTACCAGCTCACTGGAGGTTGGACCACGTGTTTGCTCAAGTCCCAAACCATTCTTAGGTCCACGGTTGGGGGTGCACGTGGATGGCCCCACAGGCAAGTGGCCCCCTGGCCCACAGGTCAAAACCACAACAGATCTACTCCAAGGTCACCATTTCGGGCTCTCTGCCCTTGGCGCCCTGCCCTTCTGGTCACTCCTCCCTGGTCGGGCCAAGGGGGAGGCGAAACTCACCTGGTGCCCATTTAGTTCTGATGCAAAGTCGGGCAACCAAGGACAGTTTCCAGTTGAAGTGCCTCTTTTTCTCTGGTTTTAAATTTCCCAGGAATGTACCATGTGTTTTTTTCAAAAAAAGACAACCGGCCGAGGGACCATCAGAAGAAAGAACTGGAAGCAGGAGGGACCCCCCTGGTGATTTTTTCTTTGCTCACAGTGGCAAGCCAATCAGAGGATGGCCATCCAAGGGGGACAGCTGGCCCTGAGCTCCCCCAAGCCACTTCCTTTCTCTGGAGCACCTTCAGAGAACAGTCAACAGAGTCCGATCCAGAACCTGGGGAGACTGTAAGGATCGTCTGTGCCAACTCGGCCCTATTCACGATCACCTTCCAGCCCCCCAGCAGGAGCTCACGGGGCTTCTTCTTACATGCCTCCAACAACAGGGAGCTCACCTCACAAGACAGTTACAGCCAACACGACACCAGCCTTATGCTCTTCTCCCGATACCTCCCACCATCTTGGAGGCTAGCTGTGTCTGCTGGGCCAAGCAGTCCGCCCCTCTCCCACACGGCGGTCCTTCAGGTGGGCGGGGAAGGCACCTGAGTCCCTGAGGCTGCTCTGCTCTAGCCACAGAGCCCACTGCCCTCTGCTGGTCCTCACAAAAGGCCCGGGTCTGACAGCCGGGCTCTTGCTGCCCATGTGAGGAGGGGCCCTGTGAAGCTTCCACGGGGGAGAATCCTGGGGCGCACCCCAGGCGTGCTTCACTACCTGGCAGAGGTCAGGCACCTTCCAGCATCAGACTCCTCCCTGAGCACAGGCGGGGAGGTGCCCTCAGCCCCTGCCTGGGCCCACCGCCCAGCGCGCTCCTGAGAGTCACAAGTGCCTCAGTGTCTGTCTGTCTTACTCCCTCTCACAGACACAGACGCCAGTCACCCTAGGGTCTGAGCATCGCACACATGCACCAGGCCGGGATCCTGCCCGCCAGGCCGAAGGTGGCGAGCGGGGAGGAGCGCAGGCTGGCACCCACCTGGACTTCTTTTCTAGGTTCTCCAGGTTGGTCTTCAGGGTGTTGTAGGCGGCCGTGCGGGACTTCAGGTCTGTCTCGATCTGTGCCAGTTGCTGTTGGGGAAAGCAGAAGACTTTAAGGCATTGGCCAAACTTTTCAAACTTACAAATTGCTCCTGGTGCCCGTAACAAAACAACATGAACCCTGCCATTGACCAGGGATGGCCTCCTGGAGACCGCACCTGGCGCAGGTGCCAGGCAGTCCCTCCTCGCCAGGGCCTGCCGGGATCACTGCCAATTGTCCCAGGAGGGGCTGGGATGTCTGTGACGTAAGGGGTGCCCATGGAGCCGCACCCACATTCCCGAGCCTTCGGGCCCCACCTGTGTTCCCAGAGACACAGCCTGGCGCGAGGAGATAGCCAGGCTGCACGGGGACAGTCCCAGCGGCCATCGCTTCCTCTCGCCCGCCCGGCCACGCCCAGGCGGCTCTGCCACTCCGAGGAGACAACAGGAGGGCTTTGTTCTGGCCGGGCTGACACTCCCAGCCACTCAGGCCAGCGGGGGCCGTGACCTACAAGGGCTCCACGTGTGGTGGAGGGAGAGGGGACACCCCCAGGGGGACAAGCAGGAGTCAGCACGGCTGCACGACCCCCGTGTCCCCAGAGCCCTGGTGCTTTCAGGCACGCGGCAGAAGCTGAGGCCACTGCTGACGGAGGCGGTGGAACCACGGGGCAGTGCCTGCTGGCCTCCCAACTGCCACAGGCCCCTCAGATGAGGGGCAGGGCCCCCGGGGAACATGTCCCAGGAGTTAGGGCTCCCAAGCCAAACTCTTCGCAGAAGCAGAGTTTCTGGCAAGTAAATAATCACCCTAGGTGTGCGGGGTCATGTTCAAGAGCGGGTGTGGGTGTGAGTGGACCACCCTCCATCGATACCTTTTAAAAAGAGGTGTGGCTCAGTGGTTGAGCATCGACCTAGGATCCAGGAGATCGCCCAGGTTGCGGCTCCATCCCCAGGAGGGGGTGTGCAGGAGGCAGCCAATCAATGACTCTCATCATTAACGTTTTTCTCTCTCTCTCTCTTTCTCTCTCTGAAATCAGTAAAGATAAAAAAAAAAAAAAAAAAAAAAAGAGGTGAGGGGGCAGTGAATGGGCAGGGGGTCCGGGTCAGACACTGGAGGCTCAGGGAGCCCATCAGTCGTCAGTCGAGGGGACTGTCCTGTGAGACACAGACACAGCCACCCGGCCAGGTAGCAGGGCTAGAGGAGGTGGAGGGCAGGCAGGGGGTCGCCCATCCCATTTCCANGGGGTCGCCCGTCCCATTTCCAGGGCACCTACAGGGTGTGGAAGGTCACAACCTCAGACACCCCCAGGGCCGGCTCAGGACTGAGAGGAGGCAGGTGGGGACCNTGGAAGGTCACAACCTCAGACACCCCCAGGGCCCGCTCAGGACTGAGAGGAGGCAGGCGGGAACAGGCCCCACCCAGGGTCACCCAGCAGGGCTAGAGCCCAGCCTCCTGCCTCCGGCCTCCCAGCAAATCCCTCTCTGCTTTGCCAGGGTCCAGACGCCATGGCGATCCGCTTCAGACAGCTCCATGTCCCCGGTCCCAGAGGGTAGGCGTCCCCTGAGGGAACCCTCCCTTACCTTCGCGAGGGTGTCCACCACGCTCGGCAGCGGCTGCTTCGCGGGGTACTTGGCCATGTCCCATTCGAAGTGGGTCACAAAGGACGTTAGGTCAACTGGAAGGACACAAGCACGTCAGCACGTGAGCCAGGCTCTAGACAGTGAGCCAGCCGTCCAGCCCCAGCCGGGTGTCCCGCTCACACCAAGGAAGCAATGAGCGAGCCCAGAGGACAGACACAAGGACCCCGGCAGGTGAAGGCTCCCGGCGGAAGCAGTGCTGAGCCAGCTGCCCGGCCGTCGGCAGCGCCCCAAACCCTCCGTGAAACACAGCACCAGCCGCAAGGACGCTGTTACGGTGCGCCCTGTGTCCCGGCCTCCAGGCCAGGCGGCTGCCCCAGAGCCCTGCGTCCAGGACGTTCGCTTTGCCAGGAGACGGGAGCAAGGCCAGGGGAGATTTCTGAGGGCACCAGGCTGATTCCCTGCCTTTCCCAGTTGCTTGGGCCACACGCCCCTGCTGGGTTATCTTTCCTATTCGAGGTACCCTGAAGGCCGGAGAGCACCAGTCAGCCCCCGAAGACACGCAGCCGTCCTGGGTGTCACCTGCTCGCACGAGCTGCCTTCCCGCCTCCTGTGTCCCAGCCCTGGACAGATGATTTCAATTCCCTGGGTCTGTTTAAAGAAGGCACTTCAAACATCAGCAAAGTGCTGGAACTGGTGAGTGTGGTTTTTAGTATCTGGTGGGGATGTGCATTTTCTAGTGTGTGTCCTTTGTTTCTATATAAAATGTCCTTATCATTAGAGACACCCGTGGGCTCGCCCCCGGAACANCAAACATCAGCAAAGTGCTGGAACTGGTGAGTGCGGTTTTTAGTATCTGGTGGGGATGTGCATTTTCTAGTGTGTGTCCTTCGTTTTTATATAAAATGTCCTTATCATTAGAGACACCCGTGGGCTCTCCCCCGGAACGGCCCAGGTGCAGACACAGCGGAGGGAGCGGGTTCTCACCAGGAGCCACACCCACCGGCACCTTGACCTGATCCGGCCCCCAGAACTGAGAGTTAAATGTCTGGCCTTTAAGCCCCGGGTCTGCAGCATTTTGTTACGGCAGCCGGAGCAGATTAGGGCGGATGTGGGTATTAGTTGGGTATTAGTGTGGATCTGGGTATTGCGACACTACGGCGGGGAAGTGACCTTATAGGAAGGACCCAGGGAGGAACTGAATCAATGTCTAGATAATAACATGGGGTGTGGTCAAAGGTAAGGAGGAACCGAAAGGTCGTGAAGGGCTCCTCTGGTGGCACCAGAGTCCCTGATCCCACTCACCGAGCCCTACAAGCACCCCATGCCAGTCACACTGAGGCGGGGACCGTCGCCCACCCCACGGGCCAGGGGACAGGAAGCCCCGGACAGAAGGTGCGGGACAGGTGTGTGCTTTGGAGTCCCTCTGCCTTCCCCTCCCCTCTCTGCCACCTCCTGCACCTGGTCCACACGCCACCACCGAGGCCCAGCCACCCTCGACCCCTCCCGCTCTCCCGCACGACCTCTCTGGTCCTTCGCCATCAGACGGAGACCAGCGCCTCGGAAAGCCCGTCGACCGTCCCTCCTGAGGCCTGTCCCACGACACCGAGGACGCTGCCTGGATGCCCCGGATTCTCCTGCTCTTTGGGAATCCCTGAGGACACATTACTGTCCCTGTGTCTCCAGAGCCTGTCACAGTGCCCGGCACAGAGCAAGGGCCCCGTACACGAATCTCCCAGTGACCCCGGTTGTTGTTCTAACTCTCANGACACATTACTGTCCCTGTGTCTCCAGAGCCTGTCACAGTGCCCGGCACAGAGCAAGGGCCCCATACACGAATCTCCCAGTGACCCCGGTTGTTGTTCTAACTCTCACTGTCTGGGTTGCTTAGAGATGCATTTCAGACCAGCCTCTCGTCTCCACGCTTGTTCACAAAGCAAGGTCGCCGTGGCAGTCAGACCACAGAGGAGGGGTCCCCCGTCTCCACTAGGACCATAACCCTTTACGGCTCAGCCCACCCCCGTGCTGGCTCCCAAGCCCTGGGCTCCAGCTCATCCCAGCAGGGGTGGCGCTGGGCGTCTGCCCCGGGCCGGCAGCTCTGAGGGCAGCCGTCTCGGGTTGCCCAGCAGTCGGCACCGTGCGCGGTACCTAGCAGCAGGCAGGCGTGTCTGCCGAGGGCGCAGGAGAGGCTGGATGAGGGGACGTGCAGGCCTCCCTGCAGAGGCCTCTAGTCTGCAACGGTGCCCTCCTGCTCCCCTCCTCCCCGCCCCCACGTCCGGGGCACTGGCTCCAGCTGCAGACACCAACCACTGCCCCAGCTCACTCATCCAAGGGGGCGGCTGCGCCCTGTCCTCGCAGAGAGAACAGGGTCTGGGGACAGACCTCCTTCGGCTTTCCAGCGCATCCAGGACTGTGGCTGCCTCTCTGCCCGCTCTGGGAAGAACCAGCCTCCCCTCCCTCCCCTGACTGAGGTTGGCGAAGCCTGGTCTCCTGGGAGCCACGCGGGGCCTGGACTGATGGCCCCGGAGGTCAGACCATGAGCCAGGCCACGGCTCTGAGAACCAGAGCAAGGCCTGCCCTGCAGACAACGGGACGAGGACCGGTGACCCCTCGGGCTGCAGCCGCCAGCCAGAGGGACCATCCGCTGTGGATGATGTCTGTGCACATCCTAGGGCCCAGGGCCGACACCGTGCGCTTGCTCAGCTTCTGTGGAAATCCAGCGCATCTGTGCCCGTCCACGCCTGAAGAGAGCTCAGGGCAAGAGCAAACAAAAGCAGAAGATGCCCAGGCAAAGCTAAAAGCCTTCACAGGAACGAGTCATTCACAGGTGAGAAAACCAAGACTCAAGGTGACCTGCCAAGGCCACAAAGTACATTACGTGGCAGGACCAGGTCTGACAACTCCTTGGCTGGCAATGCTGGCCCCACACCCAACCTGAATTCCAGGGTGTGCTCAGGAGGAGACTGGATTAAAACCCCACCTTCTGGGCTATACTGAGTTCCTCCTGGGAGTCCCATCAGTCACCCGTGGTCTGTAGAAGAAAAAGATTCCCCACCCAAAGAGTATCAGGAAAGCCTGAGCCGAATCAAATGTGGAAAGGTCACTTGGCTGCAGCCCTTTTCAGAGCCTTACACTGATGTGAGAAAGACACACTGATTGGTTGCCTCCTGCATGTGCCCCAACCAGGGCCAGGGATAGAGCCCACAACCGAGGTACGTGCCCTTGGACGGAATCGAACCCAGGATCCTTCAGTCCGAGGGCCGACACTCTAACCACTGAGCCAAACCGGCCAGGGCAAGATCGGCTGATCTTTTTAACAAAATAATCTTTTTATTACATCAGCAAGAAATCTCAGTGTGACAACAGGTTGCATTTGGGAAGGCATTTTGGTAACTTCCAATTTGTACGGATCTGTATTGGTCCTAAAACGATTTGCTGGCATTAGTTCCACTGGTTTGAGCAGGTGGGAGAAATCCCAAAGCAAATGGCTCCTTCAATTGCGGAAGCCAGGAACGGCCTGTTTGGGCACAGGGACTTCCCCAGGAGGTTCGAGAAGCGGGCTCCTTGCCCATCGAGGCCGCGCAGAGCTAAGCCTGGCATTTAAGATGCTGGAGGGCACACAACAGCCAGCCTCCGAGAGCAGGCGGGAGGACACCGAGGACAGCCACCAAGGCAGGAAGCGGGCGGCAAGGCCAAGGTGCCGAAGTCCACCTGGGACCCCGGAGTCAGAGCACCCCCGCTGCAGGAGGCACGCAGAGCTGCTGGGGTGGCCGGGGAGACCCGAGGAAGCGGGAGGGAACGAGACAGTTGCTATCTGGGTCGTGTGGGTACAGTGACCAAGTGCGAGGTTGTCACCCGGGAAACCGTCGTACCTGGTCACCGTACCCCTACAACCAGACTGAGACCCCACTCTCCCCCTCAGGGGCATGCAGGCAGCACACCAAACACACGCAAACCACGCACAACCTACTCTTTAAACATTTCATCTTTTCCTTCAGACCTGCAACGGAAAAGGAGTCATTCATTATTCAACTGCATTCGAGCGCAAAGCCAAGGTCGGTCGGGGAGGGTGGACGTTTCCATTTGTCAATTGAAACAAGCAAATAAAAAGCTTTATAAGGTTGACAGGAGGGGAAACTATGAATTTCTGTGTAACCAACGATATCGATGTTAAATACAGCATCTATCCACTCCTTTTCGGAACAGATTCCTGCACAGAGTCAGGGGTTTAATCAGCTCTACGGCTATTTAAGCACCGAATTCTAAAGTTTCCAAAGTCCCGAGTGCACTCCAATTCTAGGGGCGCAATTAATGGACTAGAACATTTTTGGTCTGACTCTCTCTTTACTGGGCACAAGTTGAGATTTTGGTTTGAGGAATTCAAATTGCTCAGCACCTGGAGGCACCTGCAGCCTGTTTCGGGGAAAGGGGTAAATCGGTTGCGGGAAGGGGCACAGGATGGAGCTTTCCAGGCCGGAGAGAGCGGAGGCTGATGGAGAAGGTGGGAAGGGCCAAACCACCACCGGGCCCCGCTGAACTCGCTTCCTCTTCAAATTTCATAGAGGGTTTTAGCTACAGGGAAAAACGGGACAGGGGACGGTAAACTGGCAAAGGGGCTGTTGAGTGCAGTGTCTGTCACGGGGGTTGGGGTGGGGGTGGGCCCTATCGTTTGGGTCTCTACTGCGTGGCCACACCTGGGCTGCCGATGGGCCAGCACAAGCCGGGAAAGCGTTGCAGTGACAACCAGGGGTGACCTACCTCCGTTGGCCAGCAGGTTCTCCTGGACCTTACCCTTGGCGTCCTCCATGACCTCCACCACGCTCTGGGCCATTCGCTTTATGAGGCTGTGGGGACAGAGCAAAAGGCGGGTCAGAGCGGGGAAGTGCCCGGGGGATCCTCTCGGGCTCTGGTGGTGGGAGACAGAGCGGGTGCCACCCTTTGGAGGAATCGTTTGGCAACAGGCAGGAGGCTGCACACGCTAGTGGCCTTTGAACCAGTCTTTCCACTTCTGGGAAACTGACTTAAGGAAACCGGACAAACAGAAAAGGCTTTCTGAATAGAAAGGTGTTCTTCACAGCAGAGTAGCTGACGGCGAGGAACGGAAACCAGGCAGCCTCCACAATGGGGGATTGTGTGAGGGAGGACGGTGCACGCCGTGGAGGGATATCGGGCAGCCGCGGGAAACGGGGTTCACGAGGAATTCCTGCTATCGTGGAGCGAGGCGTGTGATCACGTGGCGTGGAAACCAAACAAGACTCAAGCTAATACAGGAAGTGTGGGTGCAGCTATGCAGAAATGTTCCTCCTGTCTTAGCTATTTTCTATGCTAATCTGGCACCCCTTTTATAATTAGAAAATTAAAACTTTTTAAGTCTCCAGAAAGCATCTTCAGGGCTTCAGAAAGTATTTGGAGACAGGAGGACTCAGCTTTGCACGGCTCTGCCAGCTACCAAGCGTATGATCTGGGCCAAATTTATTTAATCTCTTTGGGCCTCAGTTCTCTTACGTGTAAAATGTGGGTTAGGCCCATTCTGCAGGATGATGATAAATATTAATATAACTGATCGCGCACCGAGTGTGTAGTAGCAGGGAGTGTCTGCTCCTAGAAGCTGATCAATCAGAACTTCAGTTGGAAAACATGCCAAACCAGGATCAAAGTCTGAAAGCGTTAGGCCCACTCTCCAGGTTCTCCAGGCTCTGAGAGGGAGGTGGTGTCTGCAGGGAGCCGGACCAGGTCACTGATTTCCAAATGGAGAACACGGTCTTCTGCTGACGCAGGCACTGGCCATGCTGGCCGCACAGAGTGTGGAGGCCGGGGCCAGGCAGGGAGGGCACTGGGAGGCCCCGGGGAAGAGGAACAGAGGGAGGGAGAGAAGCCGCTTGTTTACTATATTGGCATATTTCCAAACACTGAACCCTTCTACGGCACATGCGATTGAGGTTTTCTCTTGCTAGCACCTACCTACCACTCAGTGGAGTCCCCAAAGTGCCAAACATGCCATAGTCATGATCTCATTCAATCCGTGCAAAACTCCTCGAAGATGGCTATGACCCCATTTTCCAGATGGGAAGACTGAGGCCCAGAGAAGTCAGTTGTCCCCCAACCATCCAGTCCCCTGGTAGACTCTGGAGACAGCCACACTGCTGTCTTTCCAGTCACGATGGCCCATCCTGGGAGTAGGTCTCCACCGATGTGCTGGCATTTCTTAGAATAGCAGTTCTGCACCTTACTAACTGTAACGTGAGCGAGTTCCCTAATTCACCTCATTCTGTTTCCCCGGCTATAAAATGGGCGTGACGCTGCTCACCTCACAGGGTTACCTGTGGAGCTTGGTGCAATGCATGCTAAGTGCCAGGCCCTGGGAGACTGGCATCTTCAGATGTGCCCTCTGTGGCCTGGAGGATTGCATCCGGGCTCTCCACCCTCTGGTCCACGGGTAGATTAGACAGGAGATGGGGGGGTTGGAGCCTGGTTTCCCCCCGTTCCAGCAGCCTCTTTCCTCTCTTCCCCTGCAGCCTGGCAGTGTGGCAGGGCCTCTGCATCGGCCTGGGTTCCCGCATCGCTCCTCCCACAGCCCCACAGCTGCACGTCCCTTTATAAACAAATCCTCCTTGAATGCCCCTAGTGAGCGTGCCTTCCGTTACCCTTAGGACCGAGCCGACAAGTTCGTTCGTTCACTCACTAATCCTTTCAGCAAATGCCATCGATCGAGCAGCTTTGTGCCAAGCACTGTTCATCGTGCTACGAACAGAACACAGTCCCGCTCTCGGGGCGCTCCCACCGAAATGCTGTCAGCGGTTCCCTTTTGCAGTGTCACAGTGACGACGCGTGCGAGGCGCTGTCTCTTATCACCACGTCCTCCGTAATACTCTGACCGATGATCCGTTTACACGGAGGTGTTAGTAACTCAGCGCCTGGGACACAACCGCTGCTCGGCAAACGTCCGTTGAGTGAATAAATGAACTCGGACGCTCCGCAGCCCACAGAGGGGCGTGCGGGCTTCCTCCCGAACCGATCTAGAGGCAGAACCATCCTTTGCTGATCGCTCTGCTGCTCCCAATTCTAGTCTCTGTGAAGTTTCTAACTGCTGCCCTCAGGCACGTCCACCACCCCGGGACGTCTCAGAATAGCACGGTCCGGTGAAGCTTAACTGCCGGAAAAATCCCTCGCTGCACGTGAACGAACAGCCCCGGCTTCTCTGTGATCATTAACTACAGTCAGCGCGAGTCGCGGTGTCGCTGAGCCAGAACGTCCTCGCTGGGAGGAACCCAACAGTCTGGGCGCAGTTTCGCGTTTCCTTTGCTCACTCCGCGGTTTACTGGGGACACTGCTCCTGGCAGAGCGCAGCCCCCTCGTTCCGCCCGGTGCCGCACATCACACCGTTCCTACCTCGACGGGGCTGCACGGATACCCGTGTTTTGCCCACTTGTGCGGGAAGGCGTGTAGGATAAGCTGCTAAAGAGTCACTACTGGAGCCCGGCCGGCGTGGCTCAGTGGTTGAGTGTCGACCTGTGAACCAGGAGGTTGCGGTTCAATTCCCGGTCAGGGCACATGCCCAGGCTGCGGGCTCCATACCCAATAGGGGGTGTGCAGGAGGCAGATGATCAATGATTCGCATCATTGATGTTTTTCTCTCTCTCTCCCTCTCCCTTCCTCTCTCTGAAATCACTTTAAAAAAAAAAAGAGTAACTACTGGAATAAACCAGCCCTCCGCACACCAGGGCTAAGGTGTCCCCCTCTGGATAACCAAAACCCCAAGCATGCCCAGAGTGCCCCACAGTGCCAACTGTCCCCCATCTCCATGGAGGGGCCACAACAGGCCCAGCCTCCCTCTGCAGCCACACAGGAACCCCGAGACCACACGAGGCCCAGAAGCATCCACACGGCTGGCGACTCAGGGAGCCCCGGACAGCTCACCCTGCTCCTTTGTCTCTGGCTTGTCTGGGCCAACGGACAATGAAATCAACGTGCCTTGCAGCCAAGTCATCAGGAAAATGTGACCGGAGAGCAACGCTGGCCACAGAGACTCTGGCCTTGCAATAATAGCTGACGTTCCTCCCTTCAGAGGGGTCCCCCTCTGCATACTATATGGGGAGCTACCCTGCAAAATTACCCTTGTCATGCAAAACAGAACTCGCGTTGGCCAAGTTGAGATTTTACAGCTTGATTCACCCACATCGTGGCACGGTCATTCTTGGTTCTCTTTAAAAGCCAGTGAGCCCTCGGAGAAAATGTGCCCCCAGAGGGGACACAGGCGGGGCGGGCTCCTTGTTCCTAAGTACTGCTTAAGAGCTCTAGGGTCCTGCAGACTTTTGGGAATAACTGGGCATTCCCCTACATATCTGGATTTGAAAGGAAAAGAGCAGCACACGCTCGCTTAAGTCCTGGCCAGCTGGCCAGCAAGGCAACCCACTAAGGAGCGGGGTCACCGTGCCCAACTGCAGGGGCCAGGGGCCCCGCTCACATGAGCTGGCCCCTGGGTACACAAGGTGAAGGCAGCCCAGTGCTGTGTAGCTGGCAGCCGGCCGCGGGGATGAATGGGCAGAGGCCAGAACGTCGACCCCAGAGCACCAGGAGGCCACGCAAAGATTGGAGGGTGCAAGGGGATGTGTGGACTGACACTTAAGGTACCCAGGACCCTCACTGTCAGTACAAAGATTGCGCATGAATGTCTGTAACAGCTTTATTCTTCACAGCCCCAAACTACGAGCCAGGTAAATGTCCCCCTGTAGGTGACTGGATAAAAAACTGTGGCTCAGCCCAAAATGGAATACTATGCAGCAGTAAAAAAGACTTCATAAACACACTACGACATGGATAAATCTCAAATAATGATGCAGAATGAGGGAAAAAGACCAAAAAACAAGCATATACATGATGCCCTTCCATTTATATAAGAATTCTAAAAACGCACACAATCTTAGTGACAGAAAGTCAATCTGTTAGGTAAGGTGCAGGAAGAAACTCATCACAAAGGTGCACAGGGAAATAACTGTTAGGGGTGATGGGTGTGTTGACTCTCTCGCCCATGGTGATGGTTTATGTGTATACACAGTGGGGAAAAGTAGGTTTACAGTTGTGAGTAAGGGAAACACAGTTTATTGTGGTTTTATTATTTATTAATTATTGTATTATTTTCCATACAAACAACTGTAAACCTACTTTTGCCCCATGTCAAAACTCATCCAAGTGTACACTTTAAAATTTGCCTTTTATTGCATGTTATTTATATTTAAATAAAGGCATTTTTAAAAGCCTACACTACACTGAGGTATCATTTCTTACCTATTGGGTTCATAAAACCCCCCCAAACTGAACAACACACTTCATTAGAAGGTTATAGGGAAGGGGGACTCTCCTTCACGGCTGGAGGAAATGGGAAATGGTTTCAGCCCAGAGAAATCTGGGACATTCATCTGTCAACGTTACAAAGATGCATGAGCCCTGCACCCGGCAATTCGGTTCTGAGAATTCACCCCGCAGACACCCCTGCTGACACAACGCAGGCGCAAGATTACACGCTGCAGCGGGCTCGGTAGCGGGCCTCTGCCCCATGAAAGCCAGAAAGCCAAGCGTCTATCCCCGGGCCGCTTCGCGCACGAGGCACTCCCCCCGTGGAATGCTTCGCAGCCGGAAGCCCGCTGCGTGCCAACGGGAGACGTCTCCCAGGCTATACTGTTAAATGAAAAAGCAGCAAGATGTCCAGGAGCGCAGTGGTTACTACTTTGTCTGTAAAAGGGGGAAAATACAAATATCCACTGGGATTGTCTTGTGTTTGCATAAAGAAGCGCCAGATACATATCCAAGCAGCTCATAAAAGCCGTTTGCTACGCGGGGCCCAGGA